CCCCCTGGCGCTGCGGCGGCCCCCGGCGGCGGTGCTGAGCCCTGCGCGCATGCGCGGTGCTGCTGCGCCCTGTCCGTGCGGGAACGCGGGCACCGGCCGCACCGCATCCGGGCGCGTGTGCTCACACGGACACACACACACACACGCACACACACCCCGCGGCTGCATGCACGCCGGCACACACGCGCGTCCGTCTCTCCCGCCGCCTGTGAGACCCGCCGTTCCCCCGGTGCCGGCTGCGTCCAGCCGCCCCAGCTCCCTCCACACACGCGCGTGTGCAAGGGCCCATTTGCAGCCCTGCAGGCCGTAACACGCGCGTGTGCAAGGAACCACGGCCCCGTCTGCACCCCTGAAATCCCTCGCACGTGTGTGCAAGGGCCTATCTGCACCCCTGCAACCCTTCACACACGTGTGCAAGGAACCACAGCCCTGCCTGCACCCCTGCAACCCTTTGCACACACGTGTGCAAAGAACCATGGGCCCATCTGTACCCTTGCAACTCCTAACACACACGTGAGTGAGGGCCCATCTGTCCCCCTGCAGCCCCTAACACACGCATGTGCAAGGAACCACAGCCCCGTCTGCACCCCTGCAAGCCCTCACACACGCGTGTGCAAGGAGCCACCACCTGGTTGAATCGCCACCGGCAAAAAGCCTCCCTGGGCATTAAACAACTGGGATGGTTGTGCTGGTTAATTACCAACGGTGTCCTCCTCGTTTACCATTTGTAATTAACGGAGCAGATGGTGCGCCTGTCGTGTACAGCCCAGCAGGGCCCTGCTCTGCTGGGGCTCTGCCTGAGAAGGGGTCTGCTGGGGGTGGGGATGAGGGTGCTGGGGATACTGGGGGTGCTGGGGATGGTGGGGATGCTGGGGGTGCTGGGGATGGTGGGGATGCTGGGGGTGCTGGGGATACTGGGGGTGCTGGGGATGGTGGGGATGCTGGGGGTGCTGGGGATGGTGGGGATGCTGGGGGTGCTGGGGATACTGGGGGTGCTGGGGATGGTGGGGATGCTGGGGGTGCTGTGTGGATACTGGGGATGCTGGGGGTGCTGGGGGTACTGGGGATGGTGGGGATACTGCGGATGCTGGGGATACTGGGGATGCTGAAGCTGCACTATCACAGCATTTAAAACCCGTGGTAATTATTATCAGGAAACAAATAGCCCCTGAGGACGGCTGAGAACAGCCCTGGGAGGTGTCTTTGCTGGGGAGCGAAGCCAAAATCTCGTATTTAGCAACACCCCTCCCCCAGACCCGAGGGGGAAAAAGGGGAAAAATGAGCCAGAAATGTCCCAGCAGGACCCAGAGCTGGATGAAGGTCCTGGCACTTCTCTCCTTCATCCGTCCCCAGCCCGCTCTTGCAGGGCTGTGAGGGGCAAGTCCCGCTTCCCCCCCCTTCCCCTCCGCCCCCCACCCGCTAACGAGTTCCCGAGACAAATTATCTCTGTGAGCAGGAGCCAGTTTTTGTGCTCATGGCTTTGCCAGCCCCGGGGGAGGCTCTCACCCCCCAGCTTTGCAGCGTGGTAGCAGTGGGGACAGCCCTGCCGGGGGGCTGAGGCATCCCATGGGGATGGGGGCAGAGATCCAGCCCCTTGGGGTGCAGAGATCCGTCCCCTTGGGGTGCAGCAGACCCTTTGCCTGCACCATTTCTCCTCCCAGGGCACCCGGTGGGGATACTGGGGATGCTGGGGATACTGGGGATGCTGAAGCTGCACTATCACAGCATTTAAAACCCGTGGTAATTATTATCAGGAAACAAATAGCCCCTGAGGACGGCTGAGAACAGCCCTGGGAGGTGTCTTTGCTGGGGAGCGAAGCCAAAATCTCGTATTTAGCAACACCCCTCCCCCAGACCCGAGGGGGAAAAAGGGGAAAAATGAGCCAGAAATGTCCCAGCAGGACCCAGAGCTGGATGAAGGTCCTGGCACTTCTCTCCTTCATCTGTCCCCAGCCCGCTCTTGCAGGGCTGTGAGGGGCAAGTCCCGCTTCCCCCCCCTTCCCCTCCGCCCCCCACCCGCTAACGAGTTCCCGAGACAAATTATCTCTGTGAGCAGGAGCCAGTTTTTGTGCTCATGGCTTTGCCAGCCCCGGGGGAGGCTCTCACCCCCCAGCTTTGCAGCGTGGTAGCAGTGGGGACAGCCCTGCCGGGGGGCTGAGGCATCCCATGGGGATGGGGGCAGAGATCCAGCCCCTCGGGGTGCAGAGATCCATCCCCTTGGGGTGCAGCAGCCCCTTTCCCTGCACCATTTCTCCTCCCAAGGGACCTGAGGATGTCCCAAGGGCTCCTGCCTCAGTTTCCCCATCCAGCAGCACCGAGCAGGTTTCTCTCACACACACACACCCCTACACTGGGGGTGTCAGGATTAATTAGCTGCCTTTTGCAAAGTCTCCAGGTGATGCTGAGATCCGTGCCCAGCTGTAACCGAGAGCCAAAGGGTCCTTGTCCCTCGGGAGATGCTTGGAGTCATGGATCACAAGGGTAAGGGGGAACGAGAGGGGCATGAAGGGTCCAGGACTGGTTTGGGGGCTGCCCCCACCCCGCAGCCCCCTCCCAGCCCTGCCTCCTGCTGCCAGCCCCCTTTGCCAGGTTTCCAAGCTCCAAACCTTAGAGCAGAAACCAGCTGCAGGGAAGACAAATAGCCCCATTTTGCATGCTAATGGCAACCCAGCCCCCAGCCGCTTCCCATCAATCTATTTTTGGGTTTCGCTGGAGAAAAAAAAAAAAAAAAAATTAAAATCACTTTTGCCAAACAGTTTTTGGCGGGGGGGGGAAGGGGGAGGGAGGCTGCAGCATCCCAGCTCTCCTGGCTGGGCACCATGGAGAGAGGGCAGATCCCACAGGAGCATTCCCAGCACCAGGATGAGGTGCGGGAGCCCCCAAACCCCCAACCCCACCGAGGCTGCTCTGCAAATGCTCCCCATTGCAGGAAAACCCAATATTGCTGGTTTTACAAAGCCCCCCCATGCAACCACACAGCCGGGGACCATTCCCCAATGAGGCAGGATTTGGCCCCTAGAGAAGGACCCATCATTTCTCCCCAGCTCTTGTGGTTTTTATAGTGGGGTTAATAAAAGATATCGCTGTCCCAGCAGGCAATTTCATGCTGCATCCGTGCTCCAGTACATCCAGTGTCATCGAGCACTGAGTGAAACTGGTCTTCACTGGGGGGTGGATAAATCCCTGTCCCTGCCAGGGGATGGGGGCAAAGGGAGCACATCCTTCCTGGCAGCAGCCACCAGGAATGTTCTCAACCCGAGGGGAGAAGCTGTGCCAAGGATCGGGAGAGCAGGGAAGTGCCTGGTCTCTGCTGAGGCCGTGGAAGCTGCAGGAATTTCACTTTTGGGGGGATTTCCTGAAAAACAGAGGTGAGGGATGGCGACAGGGTTGGTGTTAGGGCTGTGAATCTTCTCGCCGGCACAAATCCAGTCTTTCCATATGCAGGAAGGTTTTCTCCTCTCCCACAGCTGGCTGGGGTTTGCAGCACAGACACGCTCCAACCAAGGAGAAAACTCAGAATAATTTATAGGTTGAGTAAAATCAATCGTAAATGATTTTTAATCATCTCTCTGCACGGACCCGGGGTTTGTTACGTACTGCCAAGTGCAGGGGAGAGCCAGCAGCCGCCGCATCCTGCTGACCCCGTGCACTGGGGGCACTGGGAGCTCTGGTTTGATCTTCCAACAGGGTTAGAATATGGCAGGGATGAGCGGTTCGGGATCCAGCCCTCCAGCATCCTCATGGGCCAAGGTCTTGCTCTTTGGACACCACCATGGCTTTCTCCTGGGGCTTCCCATTCCTACCCACGCCCTGACACCGGGCTGCTGCAGGGATGTGGCTGAAAGCCCCAAGGGCTTATTAATCAGCAGTTATTCTGAATTAATGCAGCCGGGGGGTGGTGGGGGGGTGGGAATCCAGGGAGAGGAGAAAACCCTGAGCTCCTCCTCAGGTCACAGCAAAGTGGCCGTGGGTGTCAAGCAAGAGGTGACCAGAGTGCCATGGTGGGACTGAGCGGGGTGTCTGTGATGTGTGTGCTGCCGACATGGCAATGCCACACAAAAGCACCTTGAAATGGGGTGAGAAGCAGGAATAGATGCTTTCTCCCCTGTGCAACAAGATCTGAAAGGGTAAAGGGGCAAATATGATGCACCCCCTGCACGGACCTGTGTGGGCACAGCGCTTCTTGTCTCCTCAATGGCATTATTGTGGAGGGGGGGGAAATTAAACCCAGGAGGAACGGAGCCACCATCAATAGCCACTGCCGGCTGCTCCTCTCTCCTGGATGCACAGTCACCCCGCTTCTGGTTTGGGACTTTCCAGGCTCAGTTTCTTCAAATCTCACTCAGAAAAGCGAGGGTGGGCAGGGGATGCTGGGCACGTCGGTGCGGACACGCGTGTAATTGCTCACAAAGGCTTGAAAGTGAAAAATAATCACTTAGATGGGAGCGCGAGGCTGAGCTCATTTACTGCGGATCCCGTTGGGGGCCGAGCAGCTCAGGACCTGGCCCGAAGCCAAGCGAGGAGCTGCCCAGCCCGTGGCCAGGGCTACTGCGGAGGGGTCACTCACACAAAGCCACCTCTGTGTCCCCGGGGAGAGCGGAGGCGGCAGCGGCTTCTCCCGGGACAACGGGAAAACAAACCCCCAGGCTGGAAATCAATGTTTTGAAATATCACATAGCACAGCAAAAATGTGCCCGTGGGACTG